TTTTGACTTCTTTTACCAATAGATTTTATTTGGAGAATAAGTTTGAACTTAGTTTCATTTTCACTTGTAATAGCACGTATGTAGCAAACAAGGAAATTCAACTTGACCGATTCAATTACTGCTACATCAAATGATAATATATATGTACATGTAACTTCAGCAACGTTTAGGACACACACACACACACACACACACACACACACACACACACACACACACACACACACACACACACACACACACACACACACACACTCACTCACTCACTCACTCACTCACTCTGATGTCACACATGGCTACTTCATTTCAGCGTGGGGATGCCACCTGTCAGTCGTTACAGGACATTTACAGAATATTTCTCAACATGAAGGTTTGGATAGGGAAAAAAACACACAGATTGCTGGTGTCCCTTCTCGTATATACAGTTTGTTCCTTCGTTTGTTTGTTTGTTGTTTAACGCAGCACTCAACATTATTCAAGTGATATGTCGGCGGTCTGTGAATTATCGAGTCTGGACCTGAAAATCCAGTGATTGACATCATAATCATGGGTATCGATCCACGCAATTGGGATCGATGACAAGCAGCGAGTCTGATCATCCGATCCCGTTAGTCGCCTTTTACGACAAGCATGGGTTGCTGAGGACCATTTCTAATGAGATCATTACCTTAAATTTTATAGAAATATCAAGTGGGATATATAAGCTATACAGTTACATTAACTCACATGGAAGGAATACAAATATTAAAACATGTTATATGTGTAGTTGTTGAATCACTTTATCCTGAACTGAACATACACTTTAATTTCTTTTAAAATCTACGTCACAATGAATGCCTGATAACGATATGCGATAGCTATAATGTTGTTTCCAGTTGTTAAATTGGTGATATCGAGTGAACATCTGTATCTGCAAGTTTTCCTGATCTCTTGTTTAAATGACACGTTATTTCCTACAACAGTGTGGATTGAAGGACCAGAGATGAAAATTAAGCGTTTTGGTTTCCGGTTCGTCTATTCCAGAATAACTCAAAGTAAAGGGTTTATCATAGACATCCAGGGGTCCATGCTTGTGCTACCGAGAGTCAAACCGGCACTTATAAGTTATATTTCACTACACTTGACATTTATGTACTCATGTTTCTGTTGACAACACATTTCAACAATATTATACAATTCTAAGTCGCGTCAAATAATTTATTACGTGATTCATTTCGATTTCCTTTACAAAACAAGTAATCTGCACGTTGATCAAGGCAACAGTTACTGCACACGCACAGCTGTCTATGAACTGAACAATTGGAACCAGTCATCATATTATAGCAAACATTATGACTGTTCTAGTGTGGAATATCTTCTGTGCCATATAGGGTTTGGTGATAGTGTTCTTATCTTTAATAGGGAACTATGAAATATTGATATACATATGTGAAACATTTTGACTAATTGATCGGCGTCATGTCATTCGTCCTTTACATATGAGTATATAAAACTGATTTTGGTCAAATATATTTACCCGAAGCTGATATATGTTTCCTTGTGAGTGATATATTGAGTCACGAATTTCTTAATAATGTCTATCTGCAAAACATGATATTTTTGACTGAGTGTGCAGGTGTCTCGACAGGATGAAGCCAATGGATGACAGCTGTATCCGTTGGAGTCATGTATGGATAAATAGAAACTAAGTAAAAAGGTCAGGTATGACGCAATGTCAGTGTTAACAAACAAGCAATAGTCAGAATTGACTCTCGGGCATCCAGGCAAATAACTTTAATAATTGTTACCATTATCAAAATAGTACTCTAAGATACCGAAAATCAGTGTGTAGTTTGGGCGTGTAGGCAACTTTGGCGATAGTGCTCACTGATCTATTGACCGGGGTAATAATAATGTAGCGCTGTGAGTGTCCACTTGGTGAATGGAATCTGGCGCATTATAAATGCACTTATTATTATTATTATTATTATTATTATTATTATTATTATTATTATTATTATTATTATTATTAGATCAAGTGATTTAGCGAGGACGATAGGCTTATCAATTTCCATACAAGTGATTGCAAACCTCTGCGGCTTGGGGGCTTTTCCCGAATGTAAAATAGTTGGGTTTGGCCGATAAAAGACTGCATTTGACTGCATTTCGTAACATTATGACAATGTTATATGACCAGACCAACTCTACGTCTCAAACTTGACGTCTCATAGATTAGAGTAGCTTCACTTTGATAAAGGGCAGTTACTCTTGCGGGAGAACCTATTGATTACCGCGAAAGACAAGCACTGACGAAATTATGTGTTGGAGCTTCTATTTTGTTTATAATTGTGCTCATATGGTTACTGTATTTCAGTCATTGTCTAAAAAGATGTTTCAGTTGGAGCTAAAATCCCTGTTATCACTGTCCAACCGACTAATCACTGAACTTGCGGTGTAATTTATCAATGGCCGGTTTCCTGGAAAACTTGTTTAATTTTAGTCACCGTTTGTGCGAGAGAATGCTCTCGGCGATGGAAAGAAATACATTATGTGATGAAGAGGTTGTCACGCTTGTGTGTCTTGGGATGGTAAATATCCTGTATTAGGGATGAAAACTTAGTATTTAGATCGCCAAGGAATACAATGTGTACCCCTAATACAGGATATCTACCGTCACAAAACACACAAGCGTGATAAACTCTACATAATCATACTGAACCTAAAACATTTGACGTCCCTCGAGAAGAACTGGTCTCCAGCATCCACAACGGGAGTAGGTAGTCTGGTTCTCTGACTTGGTTCATGCATGTCATCGTATGCCAATTGTGTAGATCGCTGCTCATGATGTCAATTACTGAAGTGTCCTGACCATTCGTGATTATTACCGCTGTCGTATAGCTGAGTGCGGTGTTAAACAACAAAGAAACAAAACATTTGGCGTGCTCTATTAAAGCTACGCATTTGTCTTCATTTGCTTCTTTCAAATTATTTTCCCATTTCAGTGCACCTTGTCGGGTCACTCGATAAGATGGACATGTAGTCTTTCAGCATGAGTCTATTATTCTTTTCTTGTCCAAATGCCCCCTATTACAACATCTATTAAACGTGAGGTTTGCAGTTCGCATGGACATTATTCAGTTTTAAGAAGCAGGAAGTTTTAATGACATGTTCCTGTACTGGGATTTCATCGAGATATATTTCCGCTTAGCCGATGACTTAGCTTGGTCTAATCCAACCCAGTCAATCATATTCAAAAAGGTATGTCAAGACGGGTTGCTGTAGTTCTTGCCTCCATTTCGTTGTTGTTTAGACATGCAGGTATGTGTATTTGTTTCAAAGATAACTTGACATACTGACACTACGACCATGTTCAATGTTTGGATAAACTTATTTTCTGATATGAAATGAGATTATATGTACTTAAAGGGGCTGTTCTTTGGTCGGGTTATGTGAACACTCTATTAGACGACTATTTCGTCAACACGTGTACACACACATTTAGAAATTAATCGACCCAGCATTGGGACAATGGATACAAGACGTATTATTATATTGTGCATTGTATCTTCAATGATCATCGTGTCTGCGACGAGCCTGGTTTTCACTCAAGGGATAATAATAATGATAAATATGATAATGCAAGTTGCATTGTGAACCCCCAGAAAGTCACCCCTACATACACATTACCATCCCATCCCAATAGGTATCCATTCATTGCTGGGTGAACAGAGCATTTTTTTAGCAATGTCTCGAGACTGAGGAGGCAAATGTGTATTTCAGTATTGGACACTTTCAGGTCCCAAAACCATCGACTCTCCGCAGCCACCATTGCGTAACTTCGCCTGATTTAAGGCCTGTGTGGTGTACAACGCTGATAACGTGCCGCTCCAGTGTTTGTCTTGAGCTCCAGAGTGTGTGAACTCTAATGTTTTGTATGACACCTCACTTCAGGCCTTCGTCCAATATCCAGCTGACAAGCCGTGAAGTAACTGTAATACTGTTCAAAACGGCGTTAAACCTAAACTCACTAACACATACACCCGGTCTCTGTCATTGTACATTCTTCCATTCACATACGGTACATCCGGCAAACACTTCCAGTACCCTTCTTTCCTCAGATATGGATACGTCCTGGAATGTTCGAGCTCAGGACCTACAGCTGACTGTACCCGCAGGGGAACCAGCGTCACTCATCTGTCGGGAACCACCCCCAGGGAAGATAGCCTGGTACAGAAAGCGTGCAAATGTATTCCCTTCTCAAATCAAGAACACCAACAGAACAAGGACAGATTCGGACGGTAATTCTTATGCTAACATGCTATTTAACTGACCTTGATACAGAATAGATTTGTTTGATTTGTGCAACATGACGGAATTCAGTAATATTATGAAAACTAATGATAATTATAAGAATCCGTCTCATTTAGAATATTGGTACACGGATGGTCCATTGTTCTAAAGCCAGTGCTATCGAAGTGTAGATGTGAGTACTTTGGCCCCTAGGATAAAGGCGACGTTTTGTGCCGATGATTGCCCTGGCTGACTCAGTGACGTGTCTCACCAAAGAAGTACACCTCTACAACCTGTGTCTCTTTCTCCACTTCAGACTGACACTCCCTGACTGAAATACTGTTCAGGTTGGTTTGACAGTTTTAATCACTTTAATGTTTCTCTTATTTGCCTTTAGGTACACTTCACTTTGCCTTCGTACAGGAAAACGACACGGGATTGTTCGAGTGTGGGGTCAGTTCAATGTCATCGCATTCTGTGACTTTTGGTAGTAAAGTCAATATGAACGTCCAAACATCAACAGGTAATTAAAAACCGTTTCCATAATCATAAGAAATCCAAATTGAGGCAAATTTGGGTGTGAAGAAAGCGAAAAGTCAGTTGTTTGAACATGTGTGATATTTCCAGACAAATGTTCAAAGTTTCAAATAGACATTTCGGGTGGGTTAAACAGGCCATATCATACGTTGTCGTTTCAAGACAGTTACATACTTGTTCTCGTGTTTCAGGTGAAATGATGGACAGGAAGCCAAAGGTGATGTTTCACAGTGGCACCATCAAGAGTGAACTCGGAGAGGATGTACAACTGGAATGTATCTTCAGCGGCAGGTCCGTTGTCATATGTTGTCATGTAGCAACTTCGTATACATTTGGTCACACGTGCTTACACTGTAGCTTGTCACCCCGAGGACCCCGGGACGCCACATCGGTACAAGTTAATCTTTGGTGTTGCTGTTGTGATGTATTGTAATCGTGCTAAACGTGGCGTAAAACAACCATAAATTCACATATGATTTGAATCAACCTTGCAGACATTATTTATAAGTTCGAAATAATATCATATATGTGCTAAAACTTTGTTCTAAATTTTTTGTTTAAAGTGATAGCGTAAAGCGAACTGTCGTTTTCAATTTTGAATTTCATTGAATCTAGTTCACCAAACATCAACTAATTCTGATGCCGTCTACCTGAAATATAGAGTAATATTAAGGTGACACTTCATCGACGTAGCCATGGCAACTTAATGAAAAAGGAATTAAAGAAAACGTGAAGAGCAGAGGTTACTTTATCCTGACAAGGGATGTTTCCGATGTTAGGACTACGACTGTCGTAACTCCTGAACATTACCACGTACAGGGAGGGCCTAAATACACAGAACTGGTTACCAACCATTTTATATTTTACCTCACTGATTAAGGACTTGACATGGATGCTGGCACAGTATGTGTCATCGAAATGACTGACTAGATAAAACACAATGATATCAACGATGAAATACATACACACTTACTCCTCTTTTACAGACCTCTACCAAAGATATCGTGGACACGTTCTGACGAGGTCCTCAAATCACGTGGCAGAGTTCTGGTCTCTCACGGTTTTGTGGTCATCAAGAACGTGACTGAGGCTGACCACGGAGTATATACATGTACAGGGGAGAACATCGCAGGGTCTGAGTCTTCATCTGTTACTTTCGACGTATTAAGGACGAGTAACAGTAAGTCAAGCTATTTTTTACACTGTCATGTATTCCTCTCGGCTGCGATTCCAGATTACAGTTTACAGCAACATATTCCTGTCGTAAGAGGAAACTCGCGTGAATGGTTGGTCAGGCTCAGTGATTTGGTTCAACTTGATTCTTTGCCAACGCACTCCGACAGCGGGATCGTTGCAGACAATATCAATGACTGGTTTGTTACAGGCCACCGGCTAAGTGTCACAGTGTACAGTATTAATGTTACTGAACAAGTTACAACTTTATTGCAGAATACATGACTTCTCGAAATTCTGTTTGTGATCTATCTTCATTTCTCAGCCGATGTCTCCGTCACGGTCAGTGCCGTTACAGTAGCTGTTTCAGTTGTGGCGCTCATCGCCATGGTGCTTTGCGGTTTAATCCTGGGTGTTGTGGTTTGGTATGTATCACTGTCATTATATACATGTTTGTTGGGTCGTGACTAACTGCATAAAATAGGTCTAGATAAGGCGGAGAAGGAATCCTAAGTTGGATAACGTTGGCCCGGTCCATTTCAACCTGAATAAAATATTTAAAAAAGCAACCAGAAACGACATTAACATTCTTCTGTTATCGGCATTCTCAAGTATATTTGTATGTGATTTTAAGATTTAAGACTGTGTCGGAGTATGTACAGATATAGGTTTTGCTACGTATCTTATCCCCGTGTCTTAGGGTTAGATAATAAGTGATATGTATGTACATGGAAAGTTAGAAATATTCGATGGATGGGATGACACAGACTCAACTAGTAAAGGGCTTCAATCAAAACCTCCATGACGTGAAAAGAAACCCGGGGCTTCAGCGTGACAAATAACAAACACTTTCTACGAAAAGTGCCTCTACATATCATGTCACTTGTTTACCTGAATAATTTTCTTTCAGGCACAAGAAGACAACAGCAAGGAAATCAACAGCAAGGAAATAAGGAAAAGTCCTTGCATCGGTTGAGAAAAGAGAATTAAACATCTGGTAGTTAAACAAATAATTCATGACAGGATATGATGTAAATACGTATATGTGTATGAGAGAATACTCATATATACGTTTCCCCACACATACACCAACTATTCTGTCCTAACCATCCCGACTTGTATTTGTTACTATGTTAGAACGGACAGAGGGTAAACAGTCGATTCGTTCGTTTCTTCCGGGTTCAAAACTTAAAAACATATACACTTTCTGTCGAAATAGTTGGCGTACATGTTATAAGTAGATTGGAAAAAAGACAAAAGGGGTACAAACCTGTCCTCGATATTCTGTAACGTACAATCTGACGGGGCTTGAGAAGGCCGGAGCAACATCGGCATCAGGCAGCGATACTGTAGAAGTTTCGTTAAGTCGAGATAGTATGTTTTAGTGACCAATGTATGTCTGACAGATAAGCGACACTGTATACAGTTACTCCTCCTCAGCTTGTTATGTGGATTATGTAAATATTCCTATAATTGTACAATGGACTCTGCTTTTAAAATATATTTCTTACGGTTATGGAAAGGGGTTTGTCGCTTTCATTATATATATATCTGTCTGTTTGTCAATAATATGCATAATTTAAGGGTAATATGTTGACATTGTGAATGTGTTTCTGTTCAAAGCTGACATTTTAATGTAAACGTTTATCATCGACTGAAGTCAAAATGACATGCAAAACTTTCACTTTCAGCGTACAAACGCTACAATTATATGTGACGGGAACTGAATAGCGAATTAAGGTCATGTACGTTAATGGCTTATCATATTAATATTGATTCTTTATAACTGTAAGGAAGAAGTTATTCATATATAATATATTATTCTGATTTACTTTCAAATAAAAAAATTAAATTGTTTGTGAATAGCTTCTTCAAGTTGATATCTACATTCTATGTCTATTGTTTCTTTTGTTGATTCACATTGTGTATAATATTGCCCAAGGGAATTTTCCTTGGACAGTTGTTTACCAATACATTTCAATAAAAATTATCAGGAATTATGCAAAGTCCTTTTCACGTGAATTAATTTATGATGAAATGTACTAAAATATATATACATGTACTTGGATTGTACAAAACATGTATTATTCTGCTTAATTGTATTTTATTAAACCTTTCTTGAAAACATTGAACGCATATTCATGATGTAAAGACTATGTGATGTTGTTAATTATTACAAGGACCGCCTCCATGGTCTAGTGGTTGAGCGTCCGCCCGTAGAGGGTAAGGTCCGTGGTTCGATCCCCGTCGCTTGATACTAAATACTTGTTTTTACCCTGTCTGGCGCTCGGTATTAAGGGGCAAAAACAAGGACTGGTCGGCTCAAAGTCATCATAGTATGTGGGGTATTCCTGTTAAACTGCGGCATGGTATCTCAGTGGGCTAGCACTGTAAATCGGCATTAGTCCGGACTAGTACAAGCAGTCACATACACGTGTGCATGCACGTCGCTATATAAGTGTAATGATCTTGGACGCGACGTTAAACCCCATTTCACCTTACCTAATTATTACAAATGAAAACGGACCTGGGTACCGGAATGTCCTTTCAAATGCGCACATGGAACAAAATATATCAGAACCTAAATTTCCCCATTTCAAACTGCAGGGTAATAAACCTTTCACTATTGCATGTTTGAAAAAAACGCATTACCGAGCAGAAATATAAATTTGATTTTTGATCAAACAAAATACAACACAGTATATCTTACAAAAAAGTACCACCCTGGGGTTGTTCCGGGTTAAAATGGATCCAAAGCTACTCATGCTTGTCGTAAGAAGCGACTAAATGTTGGTTGGTTGGTTTATTGTTTAACGCAACACTCAGCAATATTCCAGCTATATGACAATGGTCTGTAAATAATCGGTCTGGACCAGACAATCCAGTGATTGATATCATGAGCATCGATCCACGCAATTGGGATCGATGACAAGCATCAACCAAGTCAGCGAGGCTGACCACTCGATCCCGTAAGTCGCCCTTACGACAAGCATAGTCGCCTTTGACTAAATGGATCGGGTGGTCAGGCTTATGATGTCAATAGCTGGATTCTTTTCCCCACATAAACACGTACCATCAATCACAGACCTGGATGTTTACAAATACAGTGATCATAACTAGCCAATATCGCTTGTAGGAGTGAAGCGTCATGTAAATATCACTCGATCAGCTAGCCCACAAAGTCTACCAAGACAGGAGACCAATAAGACCAGGTTTCAAAAGCCTGTTGAGCATGCTCATTCTACGTCATACAATTCTTGCTGAAAAGTTGTTTCATCAAGGTTCAACATTTAAGACATCTGTTAAGCTTTCAAAACGTTTTATGATAGACATGTGGATGACATTGCCAAATTTGTTGCATCAGCGACAAAAATGATGTCCAATTCACTTCCCTATTTTGACGTGTACGGTAGTAGGATAACCATATATATTCCCGTGTTTTCTATACAGGTAAACAATTGATTTGCCTTTGCATCTGTTTGTGACGGGTGCCAGTGGTGGGGATACGCTCACACCTCGTATCATCACTATTTGGTAGTGATTCAAAACCACATGCTCATGATATAGTCGGAATCGAACAATTGACTTCTAATGATTTCTTATGAATATGGAAGGGGTTTTGTCGGGTTTTTGTTCATTTACAGGTCAAAGAGGATTCATCAGTAGCCAGATAGCCCACTGCCATCAATGTTCATTATCGTGTACTGCGAACAGACAAAAGAGTATTGAACAGTGCCCAGGTTACCCACAACCGTCAATGTTCACGTAACGTGTCTTACTTGCCAATAGTTAGCCTTCCCTTCATGCCGAGCAATATTCCAGCAGCTTTAGCCTTTGGTGTTAACATTTCACAACTTATGAGATGCAATCGAACATGCTCCTTCTACCAAGATTTCAAAGAGCGTCACACGTCAAACAATCAAGGCCTCAAAACAGTATTCAACAAGGTATTAGTACATCCAAGGTGACCATTGTGACAAATGAAATCCGTAATTTCAACCAGCTTGACCACAACCTACTCCGAGAATGAGAAGAACATATGTTAATATAAGTGATGTGTTTACCTTTCTGCATATTTTTATTTTCATGTTATTGTACTCTCTCTCTCTCTCTCTCTCTCTCTCTCTCTCTCTCTCTCTCTCTCTCTCTCTGTGTGTGTGTGTGTGTGTGTGTGTGTGTGTGTGTGTGTGTGTGTGTGTGTGTGTGTGTGTGTGTGTGTGTGTGTGTGTGTGTGTGTTAGTGTGTTAGTGTGTGATTCCAGATTAATGCCGGTTTTACAGTGCAAGCCCCTTGAGATACAAAGCAGAACTTTGTATATGGATGTCCCGCTCAAACACGTTATACTGAGCCTACCACACCTTGTCTTAGCCAAGCGCCATGGTAACAAGTACCGTCTTTAACTTTCCTTTGGTATGACAGAACCAGCGACCTTCCGCTCTTGAAGACCCTGTTTCCACTTGACCTAGCGTGCAATGTAATGGGATAATGCTATGAACATTAATCTTTCAAATTTAATGTGCAATAATATTCCATGTATAGCTGCACGTATACGATATTTTCATTTATACTTGAGTTAGTACGCATTCACCTCAGCAATTATTACAGCGCGCTAGTTACGAAACTAATTAACTACAACAGATATTAAGAGGCAGCCTGGTGGAAGCAACTACTTTGCTATTTATTTATTATTTATTTGCTTTTCGTTTTCCTTTCCATTGAGGGAAGCTGGACACACCAGGAAGTTTTAACTGGACAACACAACTGAACATAACACCGGTCAATTCCAATACTTCCCATCACTCTGAACACACGACGTGTCAAACCCAGTCACATTAGACCAACGTAAGTATTATATTTTGCTTTATTACATCATATTGTCGAATTTATATTTGTTTATCTTTGTTATGAATGAAGTCAATGTCATCATTCTGAATTAAACTATCATGTTAATTATCATGAAAGGTAAATCGATCATGTATGGGTGTTTGCCATTTGGGACCAGATGAATGTAGAGCTTTTCTAACATACGTGTGTGACCCTTTTCATATCAGTTAAAACTATGAAGAAAAAGGTGAACGGCAAAGGAAGAATTTCATGCAAAGTGCCGTAAATTGATTTTAGTACACTTGATACACTTAGTACACTTGTTGTAGTTCATGAGCTGATACGAATGATTAGACGCTATATGTTTAATTTCTTATGTTTCACTCTGCAAGTAGACCATGAATGCTTATTGATTGGATTCTATCACATTGTAAACATGTAGATCGATACGCACATGCAGACCCGTGAAGGGCCGGGTTAGTATATGTCTTCAGCAACTCATGCTTGCCGTAAGAGGCGACTATGTTTGTTGTAAGAGGCGACTATCAATTTTCAATTTCAATTTCTTTATTAACTCCAACCATCAGCCGGTGGTACATGAGTAACATAATAACATACATTCATACAATTATACAATGTGATCAAATGGCAACAGTGGTTTACTTTAGTACAGAGAATATTATTTTTACAAATTTAGATAGTTTTTGAAGATTGTAAGTTCTCATATTTGACATCAAGTGCTTTGACCAGTTTAGATATCTATTATAAATTAATGTTTTTCTTTGCTGGTCCAATTATTCACATCTAAAGAGGTAGTGGAACTGGTCGGCTATGGCTGGGGAGGTACAAAGCTTACAGGTGCGATATTCGTTTGGGGTGCCCTCCCAGCGGCCAGTCTCAATCGGCAAATTATTATTTAGGGTTCTGAATTTTAAGATTAGAGTAAAGATTTCTGGTGATAAGAGAAGATATTGTGCAAATTTGAAATTAGTTTTGTAAATTCTATAGTTGCAAGCTTTGGAGCTTGTAGTCCATTTTTGAATAAATTGATCTTTTAAAATGTTTTCAATTTTTTAGACTTACCAGCCGTGACTTACAGAATCCGGTTGATTAAAAATTACAGAAAGAC